TATGCCAGGCCAGTAGTTGGCGCTGTCACCTTGTTAGTAAACAGTACCTGTAGGGAAGTGACGATTATATGTTGTACATGATGCGTCTCCGCTGTTGGTTGTAATATTGGTGAAGTAAATCCACACTTTGCTGAAGAAGCGTTAGCAAACTCTTGAGCAGTAACAACAGTACCATGTACTCCGCCATTGTTGTGTATGTTTGTTCGCACTTGCCTTTAAAATTGACATGTACTGCGCACGCGCATGACGTCACCGTTTTCAAAGATTCCCGTATTGGGTGTTTACTCGGAAACGATAACGGTGGCGTTTTCAAAAACGTGCACTTTGAAACCTGTTTTCAAAAATATGCGTTTTCAGTCCCCAAAACGCAGTTGTCGTGTAAACGAACAGGCAAAACACATAAAAAGTTTCCCGTTTTTGGCTGAAAACGTTGTGTAAACGGCCCCTAAGTTGTGACAAAAACCCATAAGACACCTGCGAAATACGCGACAAAAGCTATTTCGCCATCTGAAGTTAAATACCAAAGGTTGCTGCTATAAATCATTTATTAGCCATTTTGCTTTCTCCATTTTCATTTGTTTGGGTCGTTCGCAAGCTAGCCTTCTGTTATGCTGCTGAACAAGCCAAAAACACACTACGCAAGTACGCTAACGCAACATACGAGCACATTGTCCCATTTAAACATATGTTTTTGTGTTCATGTGGCAGTAACAAACCTCAGCACTGAAGAGGGTGTTAGAGTTTCCTTCGAATGACTCTTAGAATGACTCTTAGAACACAAGATGTGTTATTTTTCTACTAGCTACATATAAACACGTCAACAGTTTAACTAACTTTAACTAACCTGCTCACCAAGATTCTGCTCCGTCTTGATAGCAGTTGAGCTGACTTTAATGCTAATGCTCCCTATAGCGCCCCTTGTGGCAGCATTGAGAATGCAACGAGCTCTTGCATTGTTTTCGTTGTGGATCGAATCGTTATGAAACGCATTTCATAATAAAATGACACTTTTAATAATATTTAATGCTTCAAGACTAGATCGCTTATATAAAAAAAACGATGCTTAAACCAGCCTATGATGGTTTGCTGGTCTTACCTGGTTTAAGCTGGTCTTATATGGTCTCCCAGCCTCACCTGCCCAAAACCCCTTTAAAACCAGCTAGGAGGCTAAGACCAGTTTAGGCTGGTTTTTCTAGCAGGGATCTTCACCAAACACCTGAACAACTGACACAACGTCATTACAACCTGCAAACCTCAAGCTTTCCATTTTTTAATTGTTTTTCTTTATGTTTGCGTTTCTGAGAAATGATACTGTGATCACATTTATATCAGAGTTCAGATCAGTGATTAAATATCTGACTCCAGAGTTTATATTGATGTAATTTAATAATGCTTGATTAGTTAGTTCGATGAATCAGAGGCTGCGGTCGCGACACGACGTCACCAAATGAGCATATCATTGTGTAAAGCTGTTCCTGTGTCGACCTTTGACCTTTTCCCATTGCAGA